CTATCCACTGAGCCAAACCGGTTTCGGCTCTCATATGGTTCTGATCTGCCTTGCCTTCATGGCGAATGATATTGAGTGCCTTTTCATTATGTGCCACCTGTCTTTCCTTTCCAGTGAAATGTTCAAGTCTCTTGCCCATGTTCTGAGTGGATTGTCCAGAGAATTATGCTGAGAAAGGAGAGCCAGTCCTAAAAGTTAACATTTTTGCTCTGAGAAGACCCTGTTAAGAGGATGAACAAGCTACTGACTGGGAGAAAATTATTGCAAACCAATATATCCAACAGAGGACGAGTTACCATTTTAAAGTGTACAGTTCTATGTCATTACGTGTATACACATTATTGTGTAACCAGCACCACCATCCATCCCTACATTTTCATCTTATCCAACTGAAACTGTGCACCAGCTAAACACTAACTCCCCATTTCCCTCTCCCCACACCCTGCAACCACCCTGCTGCTATGACTGTAACTACTCGAAGTGCCTCCTATGAGTAGGATCATGCAGTCTTTATCCTTTTGTGTCTGGCTCACCACACTGAGCACAATGTCCTTAAAGTTCATCCATGTTGTAGCATGTGCCAGAATCTCCTTCTTTTTTAAGGCCGAATAATATTCTGTTGTATGTACACACATTTTGCTTTTCACTCATCCACCCATGGACACTTGGGTTATTTCCATCCTTTGGCTACTGTGAACATTGCTGCTATGAACATGGATGTACAAATATCTGTTTAAGTCCCTACATCCATTTCTTTGGGGCATAGCCCCAAAGTGGAATTGCCAGACCCTGGATGTCTGCTAAGAAAAGATGCTCCAGACTCATTTTGGACACCTGTTGTCCTAAATCTCGAAACAGCCATCCTCCAGGGAGCCCTGGATCCTTTTGGTAGGAAGGTATTTAGAGAATAGGATTTGGACATATAGGGGTGGTCATTAGCTACTGGCTTGGTCATTGTTTTTAGGCCTTTTCAGTGAACCAAGTTAAGAAATAGTGTAGATGTTTAAGAAAAACTTATCATGAGTTCAAATTGGTATTTCCACATCAAATTCAAAACTAAAGGGCTTTAATTTAACTTTTTTGGCCTTATAATAAATTATTTTTAAATATATATTTTATTGATTTTTTTTACAAAGAGGAAGGGAGAGGGATAGAGAGTTAGAAACATCAATGAGAGAGAAACATCAATCAGCTGCCTCCTGCATACCTCCTACTGGGGATGTGCCCACAACCAAGGTATATGCCCTTGACTGGAATCGAACCTGGGACCCTTCAGTCTGTAGGCCAATGCTCTATCCACTGAGCCAAACCGGTTAAGGCTTTTTTGGTCTTATAGATGCAACTTTGTTTTCTCCCATGACAAAAACTTGATTTCCAATGATATCAACATAATTACTCACTTTCTCCAGCAATAAACATATAACAGTCTCAGCATAATAATACAATCTCACAAAAACAAAACACTACTTCCACAAACAAGACGATTACTGAAAATGGTTTTATTATTCGTTGGTTTATTTCCACTATTTTTGTCCTTAGAGTATATCCCACTGGGATGCACAGTGAAATTCCTATAAAGTCATTTGAAAAAATTCCTGTGTATTTGTCACCAATCTTCTATTGGCTTATGTTCATTTGTTTCATCTGCCTTCAATTTTTAGGAATTAAAAATAAATATTATGGAAATATTCGTATGATTCTAAAGGTAAGTATATAAAGCAAATTATATTTGGACAGGTTCATCTTCTAACCCTGTCTCCTATATCTCATTCTCTATCCCCCTATAGGTAAGAACTTAAAAATTTTTTTCTCTTCCATCTAACAAAATAAATGTGGCCTGGCCAGCATGGCTCAGTGACTGAGCGTCGACCTGTGAACCAAGAGGCTGCAGTTTGATTCCCGATTAGGGCACATGCCCAGGTCATGGGCTTGATCCCCAGAGCGGGGTGTGCAGGAGGTAGCCAATCAATGATTCTCTCTCATCACTGATGTTTCTATCTCTCCCTCTCCCTTCCTCTCTGAAATCAATAAAAATATATTTAAAATTTTTTAAAAACCAAATGTGTTTATTTCTATATCCCTCCTTTCTTAAATAATGGGGAGCACACTATTCACACGTTTCTTAGTTTTGTGTTTTTCACTTACAGTTTCTTGACGATCACTCCAAGCAGTATACAGAGATGTCAATTCCTTTTTATAGCTACACAGTCCTCCACTGGGTAGATGTACCGTAGTTTATGCGAACGATCCCCTGTTGATGGAAATCAAGTACTTTTTTGAATGGTGTTTTTACACAGAGTAACTGTCACATGGTTAAACAAATCCTCATGGTCATTTCATAAGTTACCTTTCAATGTTCCATCCTTAGTCTCCACAGCTTTCTCCATGCTAGGGACTGACTCTGTTTATGTCTACTACCTAGAATTAGTTAGTTCCTAGGTAGCAGATATGCCTGATGAGGTACTAACTGGAGTTTTATTATTTGTGTCTTTATTTTTATTGTTGACACTGTTATAGATGTTCCCATTCACCCTCCCTTTGCCCACCTCGACCCAGCCCATGTCCCACCTTCCCTCTGACCATCACCACACTATTGTCTGTGATTATGGGCTATAAATACACATTCTTTGGCTGGCTACTAACTAGAGTTTTAATTTCAAAGTTATTTCAAAAACAATTTTCCCAAAGGGGGAATAGGCAGTTAGTGTTTAATGAAAATGAAGTTTCTGTTTGGTATGATGAAAAGTGTTGTGGATGGATGGTGGTGATGGTTGCACACAATGAGAATGTACTTAATGCCACTGCACTGTGCACTTAAAAATTATTAAACTGGTAAATTTTATGTTATGTATACTTACCTCAATTTAAAACAGAATAAGGCTTATGGGAAACACTAAAGAAATTACTGAAAAACAGCCATAAACATTATTTTTAAAAATATATTTTTATTGATTTTAGAGAGGAAGGGAGGAGAGATAGAAACATCAATGATGACAGACTCATTGATTGGCTACCTTCTACACATCCCACACTGGGGATCAAGCCCACAACCTAGGCATGTGCCCTGACTGGGGATCGAACCACAAGCTCCTGTTTCATGGGTCAATGCTCAACCATTGAGCTACACCAGCCGAGCATAAATATTCTTTAATGTTAAGAAATTTCTCCAATACATTGTTACTTTAATATATAACTTTATATTGAAATTAAATTTCAACACAAAAACTAAATGAGGTTTTTTTCTTGTTGTTGTTAATCCTTACCTGAGTATATATTTTTTTCATTGATTTTTAGAGAGTGGAAGGGTGAGGGGGAAGGAAGGGAGGGAGAGAGAGTGAAACATGGTTGTGAGAGAGACACATCAATTGGTTGCCTCCTGCCTGTACCCTGACCAGGAGCTGGGGAATCAACCCTGCAACCCAGGTACATGCTTTGACTGAGAGAATCAAACCCATGACCCTTTGGTGTGCGGGCTGATGCTCTAACCACTGAGAAACACCGACCAGGGCTAAATGAGGTTTTTTTTGTTTAAATATTTTATTGATTTTTCATAGAGAAGAAGGGAAAGGGACAGAGAGTCAGAAACATCGATGAGAGAGAAACATCGATTAGCTGCCTCCTGCACGCCCCCCACTGGGGATGTGCCCGCAACTAAGGTACATGCCCTTGACTGGAATCGAACCTGGGACCCTTGAGTCCGCAGGCTGACGCTCTATCCACTGAGCCAAACCGGTTCGGCTGAGGTTTTTAATTGATGTGAATGTGTGTCATTGCAGTCAGTAGTAGATGTCCTCAGCTTAGAGATGGCTCCCTTCTCCACTGGTATAATAAACGGGGGCTGGTCACCTTCCAAGTGGAATCTTATCTGACAATGCATTGGTACAGATTACTCTCCAAGTTTAATGATGAGATAGCAAGTCAGCTCTTCCTAGAATTTATTTATGTTACTACATGGTGACTTGAGTTTTATGGCTTCTCTATGAGGCATTTATGAGTAGGAAATCCAGCTCAGTGACAAAGGAGATAATATCTTATATCTATTCCTGTTGATGTCAGAGTCCAGGGTGGGGATGTCAGACCCTCAGGGCAAACGAATATAGAAACATTTCTTAGGCCCTAGATCTTGATCCACTAATGAAGAGGCTGTAGCCTCTGGTGAGTTCCTATAACACTTCACCTTCTCCATGACCTGTCTCCATCTGTGAAATGTAGCCTCACCACGGAGAGAGAACATTTCAAAGACATCAAAGGATCCTGGGCATCTGGGTGCTCCAGATGTACACACCATCACATTTCCTCAACTGGTTATGGACAAGGACAGCCTTTAAAACCCTTCAAGTAGGAAAGCCAGCCGTTTCACTTCTTGTGGGAAGAATCCTCTTCCTCCACCACTGGAGCCACATGGGGCCGAGTGACAGGGCGCTGACTCACCTGCTGGGTCACCGGGCACACGAGAGGCAGGCCTGGCCCCTGCAATCTGAGCCATCACTTGACTTGGGTTCAGTGTTTGTGATAACACAGGGCACAGGGAGTGTGAGCACATGTGGCCTGCGAAGCACGGGGCAAAGGACCGCCTTGTCCCAGAGTATGCATCTTGAAGCAGCAAGGGTGATGACACAGATGACGCCTGGATACAGCTGAAGGGGAAAAGCCTGAGGTGATATGGTGTCTATGTACACGTGGGGAACGACAGAGCCAGACCATGGTGCGACAAAGCGTTTATCCAAATTCTCCGGGAGGTCTGTTCCTCACACCTACCTGCCTCTTGACATCTGTATTTCGGAAACTTACACAAAGGCAGAGAAACCGGTATAAAGATTTCCCGTATACCCAAACTCTGTCTCAAGAATTACCAACATTTGTCATTCTTGTTTCATGGACTTACCCCCCCCCGCACCCCCTAGGTATTTTAAAACAAAGTTCATATACCACCCTTTTTCACTCCTGAGTATTTCAATATCCTGTCCCTCCCAGGGCTGTTAAACAATAAATACCCAATATTCACTACCAGAAAATCAGCATATTTTTAATACAGATGTGGTACAGAATGTTTAATTACAGCAGGGCAGAGATTCCAGTTAAATAAAATTGAAACCCTTTATTACCTCCAATATAAAATTACTAAATTAATGTCTCAAAAGAAAATATAACACGGTGAAAGCTCTAAACCACACCATTGTTCACCACAGGATTTATGATTTACCAATGACATACTCCACCACTTTGGCAAAAGGATGAACTTTTCAAAAACAGTTTAAAAACCTAACATAGCAAAGACTGTGTACATCTCCATATTGCACTTTTTTATGTACAAGAATAAAACAGTAAAGTCAAGTGTCTTGCATATACTAAGAACAGCACAAATCTGTCACAATTAAATTTAATGCAGAAGCTCATGTGAGAAGTATTAAAAATGTAGAAACGTAACTCACGTATGTACAGAACGCCGAGACTGTATTAACAAACTTTATGTACATGACAATACACTGCATTACTTTAAACTTTTTAGCATAGTTGGGTTTATTAATAGAGGCCTTTGGTTCTAAACTGCTTGACTAGTTTGAAGCTCACATAGTTTCTTAAGCATTTCTGTTTTTTTTTAGACGCAAGTAAGTATAAAAGCACTAAACCTCCTGGTACACTGGTACAAAAATTACAGCGGTCAGATCCCTCAAGTCATCAAAAACTAGTCACAAAAATAGTTCTTGTATTCAACCTGAATGTGCCACAGGAAAAAATATTTTCAAGATTTCCCAGCTCAGCCTAGAGGCAAAGGGCTACCCCAGCCTCAATTTCAGTGCTATGTCCCTGCTATGTTCATTCCAGAACACTCGTTTTCTCTAGGCCATTTATCTTAATACTACTTTGTAAGGAAGAATAAAATCTAGCTTCAGTGTATGAGGGTCCACCACACGCCTCTGTTAAGACATCATGAAAACTTGGAAGATTGCCAGAGAGACTTAAAAAAAATATGTGCCTTCTCCTGACTCCTCTAGAAAATCTGCTATGAAAGAACAGTTCTCTGTTTCCTCCCTCTCCCATTCCCCTGATTTCTCCTTGTGCTCGGTCTCCCCGTGTCCTGCACGAGCCCAGTGATTAGCTTTGGAAATCATCCTGAGTTTGCAAATGACAAAGCAGGTCCCCACACGCGGTCCACGAGGCGGATCACAGAACTGAGGATGAGCTGGTCATCCCGTGAACCATTGTGCTTGTTGGAGTCCCGCTGATGGCATTGAAGATGTGAAGGGAGTTCGGCAAAACGCTCGTCTTCTCCTCCAGGGGGCAGATCTTGAGGCACAGAAACACAACATTAACCTAGTGTAATGCCCTGAACAGCATTTTCCAAAACGGTGCGTTTCATGCAACCCACAGGACTTATCTCATCCAGAGGTAAGTGTTCCTGTGAACGATGGTCTGCTTAGATAGATAGTTTGGTTTTGGCAGTTTTCAGAAGGATTGTGTCGGCTCATCTAGTGAATGATGTTTTTCAGATCAGGATTATAAGGAGAGAGTCCAGAACAAACATGTTTTTGTCTCCTTTACAAGTTAATAAGTGGAGAGCCTTCTAGACTAACCAGATGATAAGGTGGCTTGAAGTTTACCTTACACATGCTTGATGGGGACACGACCTAGCCTTGTCCCCCGGAAAAGTCTTTTAAGATGAATCTGGAGCATCTGTGTTTCTCTACTGGCTCCTTTTCTCGGGGTCCTACAGATAGGGGCTGCCCCTTTGACCCTGAGCTTGTCTCTTTTTGCGTTCAGTAATGCAGGGAAGGGTCCTAAGGGCGGGAAGTGACCGACTGCTAGGCAGAAACTGAGAAGAACGTACACACTCAGAGGCTCCCCTGGAAAAGTCAAAAGCAAGTCTACTCCGGGTTATGACCCTTTTTCTTTAAGCGTTCAAAGGAGTTTAATCTTCATAGTTGTTGAAATAATGGAAACTTCAAGTTTAGAGCACAGCACTGCATCAAATGTCCATACATACAATCTGGGAGTTTATTTTAATATTTTCAGCCCATAATTTTTTTTCCTACTTTCATCTTTTCTAGTGCCAAATGCTGGCACCCACTGATCAAGCTCTCCATTCCACAGGAATCTGGAGGCCCATGGAAAAGACCCTGCTTGTTTTCCAAACACTTGTGCTCCTGAGGCCCTCACATTCTGGTTAGATATTCACACACTTATTGCTTTAATCATTTCCTACTTTTCCAAGTGCCCAGAAGAGGGCTGCCTTCTTTTGCACATGCATTTGTCCTTATGCCAACATCTGCAGTTGCCCAAACTCAGGAATAACTTTATGTGAGTCAGTAAATCAAGTTTTAGAAAAATAAAATGAAAAAAATGACATTACCATCCCATCTGATGTGTGAGCATGAAGGAGAAAAAAAAAGTAAGCAAGTTAAAGCTCAGACATTTGCTTTCCTACAACAGAAATTTCCTAAGTAAATCATCACATGACATGTTAACTGACACAAATGGTCCTGGCTTCGGTTTTGCGAGACTGAGGCAACAATGCGGGGAAGAGACAGGAGCAGTTCTGTGTTAGCAAGGTGCTAGCACTACCTATAAAGATGGCCCTGTGACTCAGAAGGAGTCACTATGGTTGATGGAGAGTGGACCTCTCTGCAATTATGTGGAAGCTGCTCTTTGACATTTACTGGGTTCCCTGGGCAACTGTCCTCTCTGATGACTACTGGGCCCTCATCCACAATTCTCCTGAAAGGAATCCGTACAGGAAGGCAATGAGAGCAGTACAATCAGAAAAGATCCCATAATGACAGGGAATATAGAAACTGCCAGGGGTAATCTATTGGGGTACCCAAGTCAGCTTTAAATAGTTAAAAACTGAACAACCCTATTTTTGTAAATGGCAAAAGACATTTAATAAAACAGGTAATTCCTTAAACTGATGGGTAAACCCTGTTCTTTCAAAGGACTGGGTGGATAAAGAAAATTCTACCAACAGTATGGGTATTTCTTCTTTATGTGAGAGGTTTTTTGTTTTGTTTTGTTTTGTTGTTGTTATTGTTGTTTTATGCTAGATTGGGGTGGGGAGGAGTTAGGAGTGTGGAAGAGGAGGTAGGAGCTGCTCTCCTCTGGTCACACTAAGTACTAATAGGTAGGCAACCTCTTCATCGAGCTATTCCTCAATAAACTGTGGTTAGACAGTGGAAGCAGAGTAGAGTGCTACATTATTCTCTAAATCCTGGAAGGTTGTCAGAAGGGGTAGGCCATCACAGGGTGTACTGAAGACCCCAACCAACACCTGCTTCCCAAACATGAGAACTCCAGGTGGCACTTACCTGCTCATGCATGATTTCAGAAAGCTCTTTTGCCATTTCCCTGTAGTTGGCTTTCATTTCTTCCTGATACTCTAGCTGGTCTTCCTTAATCAGACGTTCATTTACCACTAAGGCTTGACCGCAAGCTTCCACAAATTGCCTGAAGTGGTAAAGGAGAGGAAAAAAGGATGTTGAGAACAAAGAATGAGTCCAAGTGGCAGTGACTCTTCCTTGATTGAGCTCTGAAGGTGATCATACTTGAAGAGAAAAAGACACTTCTAGTGTGTGCTTTACCTGAAAACTTCTTTAAGCAACTTCACTTTATTGTCCGGATATCTCTTTGTGTTTGTGTCATCTAAGAAAGCTCGGGCATATGCCAGTGGACCAGCATTGACCTAAATAAAGAACAAAGTTTTAAAATTATGTTATAAAGAAAATGACCTTTAATTTCAGTTGGTATGTGCTAAAAATGATGCCTGTAGTCATGACCCCTACCCTCCAGGAGCTTACAACCCCAAAGAGGAAACCATGAAGAAAGCTACATGTCATTTAATTTTACCATCTCAGCCATCCTCAGGGCACTGCTGATGGTGGTTCATTCTATGTAGGAAGAACCAAAGCTTGAAAAACATAAGGGCCTATTCAACGTTGAACATTCAATAAGCAAAACACCTGAGATCAGAGCCCAAGTCTTCCTATTGATAATTGGCTACACTATTCTCAACCTGATCAGTTCAGTGAAAAACTGGGGGGAAAAAAAGTATGTATGCCAATTGTTTAAAAACCAACTGTTCACCTCACTGAATTGTATAGACAGCCATGGACAAACTGATTTGCTACCCTTGAATAGAGTAACCATCGGAGGTGTGCGGCAAGTGCCAAACGTTAGGGGCATTTAGCAACAGGGTATGTGAACCAGAACCCTGCATATCTCAATTAGCCAAGAAGAGTTCTCGGTTGGGAAGGTCAACTTGGGAATGTAGAGAAAAAGAAAGTTAGACATACAGGATGGGAAGGAAAAAGTCCCAGACACCCGAGACAGCTTGGAAAGGACTTTACCATGTGATTCCTGCATAATTTCTCCTGGAAGATCTGGTGGGCTTGGGGGTAATTAAGTAGGGAGGGCCGTCTATCTTTTTTGTTGCTGTTGGTGAAAGAATGGGCAGTGTTTCTGATCTTACACGGTCTTCAGGACTTACACGGTAACGGCAGAAGATCTGCAGTGTGGGAATTCACACCAGAGGTGGGGAGCACTTTGAGACAGGAACCACTACCTAACCTTCTGTGATGACTATGTCATCACCCTGGATGTGTGTGTGTGTGTGTGTGTGTGTGTGTGAAGATGACCAAAATGACTGATTATCCAAAATGATACAGTTGGTTTTCTGTGTCCAATAGTTCTGCATCTGCAAACTCAACTACCCACAAATCAAAAATATAGTTAAATAAATTACAGTTTAGTTGGAGCACTGTCCAATGCACTAAAAGATTGTGGGTTCGATCCCCCATCTGGATGCGTATGTAAGGCAACTGATGTTTTTCTCTCACATCAATGTCCCCCGCCCCCTGCCCTCTCAACATATCCTTGGGTGAGGATTAAACAAAACATTATGTTGTTGCTGATATGTACTATGTAGTTAAGCCTAAGATGGTTGTTACTGTTCTGAACATGCACAGACTTTTTTCTTGCCATTATATCCTAAATAATACAGTATAACAATTTACATAGTATTGGGTATTATAAGTAATCTGGAGATGATTTAGAGCAGGGGTCCTCAAACTACAGCCCGCGGGCCACATGCAAATACAAATATTGTATTTGTTCCCGTTTTGTTTTTTTACTTCAAAATAAGATATGTGCAGTGTGCATAGGAATTTGTTCATAGTTTTTTTTTTAAACTATAGTCCGGCCCTCCAACGGTCTGAGGGACAGTGAACTGGCCCCGTTTAAAAAGTTTGAGGACCCCTGATTTAGAGTATACAGGAGGATATATGTAGGTTATATGAAAATACTACCCCATTTTATGTAAGGGACTTGAGCATCCATGGATTCTGGTACCCTGTAGGTTCCTGGAACCAATCCCCCGCAGATACTGAGGGATGACTCATTCAATTTTAAGAAAATGCAAAGGGGAAAGTTGATGAAATGTCCTAAGGTCTAATGTAACCAGGTCTTGGAGTGCAGCGCCATGGAGCCAGCCTGATGGCTCTGTCCTACACAACAGCAGCCCCCGCGAGGCTCTCGGTGAAAGAATTACAGAAACGCACAGAGAAATTGATACAGCGCATTTCCTCCGGCTCTAACGCTGTGTTAAGGTTGGTGGGTACACATGTATGAAGTTCATCTTACTTCATCATGCAATTCTTTGCTTTTTAAGATGATTGAGCATCTGTAAAACTCTAAGGTCACAGTCGAATGGCAGGGCACATTTTGTCCTTTAGAAAGCTCAACCAGTCCAGCCCCACCTTTTACTGGAGCCCACACCCTTCTGCTGGCCTTTCGATAGAGGCTGGAGGCTCCTGGGTCACGCTGCTGAGTGGTTTTGTTGCTAGCTGCAGAAACTGTGGCCTCTGGCCCCGTTATGTAATCACTCACGTTGCTGGAATGATTATCATAGTCACTTGATAACTTATTTTTGGCACATAAGTCTTTTGGGCCATAAGAAAAGAGGTTGAAAACATCTATAAATACTTTTGTGGTGAATGACATTTAGAAAAATGTTAGGCAGCAACTCAACATGAATCTCATAAAAAGCTGACAAAAACTGATTTCAGAAAATGAACCAAGGAAACTCCAAAATTTATATATTACAATCTACATGTAACTTTCATAAACACCCTTCTTGAAAGAGGAAAAAATATTAGAGATACATATAAACACATACACATAAAACATGTGTTTGAATTACTTACATACACTTAAAAATATCAGTGAAGTAACAGGCATACTACTCACTGGAAAGAGGTGATTTAGCATTTACCAATTTCATAAGAAACTATGTAAGAAACCTTTTAAAAATGTATTTTTGAAGTGTAATATACACAGAGAAAAGTATACATAATGTAAGTGTATAGCTTGATGAATTTTCATACACTGAACATATTTGTATAATCATCCCCTAAATCAAGGGTGATCTTTTTCATAAATGGTGCACACCACTTGGATAGCTATATGGGAAAAATGTGTTTGACCCCTATCTGCTACCACATACAAAAATCTAGATGGACTGCAGGTCTATATATGAAGGTTAAGCAAAGAAGGAAAATACAAATGTTTCAAAGATATTCTTTTAAAAACAGATTTCTTCAAGTGGACATAGAAAAAGGCTACCAGTAAAGAATAAATTAATCTATTGGGCTATATTAAAATCAAGATTTTTTTATATTAATCAGAAAACACCATTAGGAGAGTAAACTTAAGGTACTTTTTCAGATAACAAATGTTATAGAAACCAGACAACAATAGTTTTATAAGAAAACCTAGAGCTATTCTTTATATTTAGAAGAGTCTTAATGGTTCCAATTAGGCACCCAGAATCCCCCAAATTACAAACAAACAAAAACCCAGATTAGTGTGGAGAGCTGTCTCCTGCCCCCGGCAGACAAGTTTAGTAAGAATGATACTCTTGCAGATGGGAGAGAGAGTGGAAAGTGAAGGGTAAGGTGGGGCACCCTATGGTTACTGTTATTAGGAGAAACTGCACAGATTCTGGGGGCAGGTAACGGGAATCACCTGGTAAAGCCAGAGATCTACACTAGACCTTGCTGGTGCGAATGACCTGAAATATTCCCAAGGTCTTCAGTAAGGAGTCTTCCCCTCGGTTGCCCCGTGGTTAGCTCTGTCCAGCGCCTGGCTCACCTGAACACTCACGCTGCCCTGGAGTTTCAGCTGGAGTTTGATCATGTCCACGTCCGCCGAGGAGCACAGCTGCCGCAGCTCAGCCACCTTCTTACTCATCTCGTCAATGGCCACCTCGATGGGGTTCAGGTCGGTGTGGTGCTGGTACATGACGGGGATGCGCTTCTTCACGTACGGGAAGCAGTGTATCGCTGCGGGGGAACGGGTCCCAGAATTACTCCACGGTCTGCGTGGTCTTTACTGCTATCAAGGTAGACGTTACTATTGTTCCCATTTTACAGAGAAGGAACGAAAGCCTGCCAAAGTCACACGTCAGTACTTCATGGAACCAGAATACCCAGAATACGTATTGTCCTTCTGTATCACCGTGGGTGTCTGATGACAGGTTGTATCATATAAAGTAACGAGAGTCGGGTGTTTGTTAACGTTTACTGTGAGAAATGTATCTTTGAAGACATCGCTTTATTGCTCCCTCCTCAATTTTCTCATCCATGACTGCCTTGCCTTCCTTGGAAGTTGAGAGATCTGAGTGAACTAGCAGATATAAGGTGGCTTTGGAAATATAAAAAATGACTGAATAGTTTAAAGATATCACATACAGCTTAAGTCCAGAAAAAAATATAAGAAAATTCATTTTTATCCACAGAACAACTTTGAATCAAAGTCTGCATAAATCAGAAAAATTAATGAAAAATAAGAAGATATATTTCCAAGAAAAATATTTTATGAGCCAGAATGGCAAAAACTGTTGAAGTCGCAATAATAGAGATATTTTGAAACAAATAAAAAAACTTAAGTAAAAATATTTACTATTTTTTATATATTTTTAAACCAAAAAAATCAATATTGTTTTCATTTATCATAATAAGACACCTAAGAGTTAAGTTTAAAAATGAGCAGAGAAACAGCTGGATCTACCTTGGGTTGTTTCATGCTTCTACTTTGCTGCTTTATATGGTATATAAATACCTGTACTATTCTCATTTAACATAGATGGACTAATAGATCTTTAGATATGTGCTTTCTTATATTTTAGTAAGCAAAAATAAGGCAAGGAGAGTGTGAGTTTGGATTCATTATTATTTAGTAAGTGGCTGGGGGTGGGGAATTACTCAGAAAGGACTGGTCACAAGATGAGAAAACAGGCCAGCGACACGGAGTTCCCATGGGCCACATCTGGACAAGGCTGGAGAAGGTGTTCAACCTGACCAACCTCCTTTGTCACACACAGGCCTGTTCTAGTCTCTACATGTTCTATCAACCTTAGTCCAAGAGTCTGTGTCTCCTGTTTCTTTTGTGTTCCTTGCGGGCAGTTTCTAAGTCGCAGCACTGGAATCAGTAAATCCAATTAGAACCAAAGGCTCCTCTGAGAAGGTGACCTGACCTGGGCACTGCTGCTTGCCGGCCAAGGACACAGAAAATGATCCAGGATGGGGCAGACTGACAGGCGTATGGAGAACTACAGCTTTCTCATTTGTAAGAAAGAAGCACGTGTGGAAACGTCTATGCAGCCACGGCCATGTTAAAACACAGGCCGTTGTTCTGTCACAGTGCTGAGGGCTATGGTGTGGTGGCACCACCATTTCCGAGGGAAAAGCCAGCTCCCTGGATTAAGTGACAGACTCAGCGAGCCATCTCTAGTGATCTGCAGCTCTTTAATAAGGAAGGTGAGGAAGAGACGGCTGAGGAGTGACTGAGGAGAGACGGCTGAGGATGTGTATATGCCCGTGGATTATACTGATTTCGTGTAGCATAAGAGTCCTGAGTCACCGCCTCTTGCTTCTTGCAATGATAACTGGAGACTTAAAGAGGCGAAGAAGAGTACAGTGTGGGGCAAAAGTAGGCTTACAGTTGTGAGTATGCAAAACACAGTTTATTCTCATATTATTATTTATTAATTATTGCCTTATTTTTCCATATGAACAACTATAAACCTACTTTTGCTCACATGTATAATGATACAGAAAACTCAGTCTGTGCAAAAGCCTACCAGTTCCATGTGAT